TTCTAACTGGTTATTGCAGTCTACTGTTAACTTTACATGAAATTTGTTCTTCTTTGACTTCGCCTTTAAATTGATTTCAATACTTTACCGTTTGGTCACAGAGTTAAATAAAGTTCAACATATGTTAATTTCTAAGTCTGTATTAGACTTAAGATTTTACCTTTTTTCAAAGAAATCTTTTAGCATTTAAAATAAATTGTTATCATCCTATATTTCTAAATTATATTTGATAGGCTTGCATTTAGGAACTTTGCCTCTAAATTCAATAATTAGAGTATCCTGATTCTGGCTTCAAAAACAACCTGAATAAATCTGCAACATTTTCAGGTCTATAGCATTATAATAGAGTCTGGGTTATTTCAAAAACTTCGAAGGCACTCACTGATTGAAACTATATGAACCTAAAATATTTCTGGGAATTCTCATTTGATTATTATTGTTTTCAGTGTTTCAGATCATTTTATTATACAGCTTTTCAATAATTTTGTCATTTAAAATTGAAGTAGATATGTTAAATTTCTCTGTGATTTCAAGATTTCCTAAAGCATAATTATAGTAATCTGTAGTTAATTCAAAAAACTACTTCTATGATGTTATTTGTCATATGTCTTTAAATTTTATTTATAATTCATTTTTGTTTACTTGATTAAATTTGCTAGAGGCTTATCTATTTAATCCATCTTACCAGTCCTCCAAATCGAGCTCCTGGCATCAATATTATATTGGATTCTTAGATATGTAATTGCATTCTTCATTTTTAATAAAATGTTATAAATTTACTTCAGAATACTAATTTCAAAGTTTTGACAAGTCATGCTCTCAACTTTATTATTTTTATTACTTTGCTACTTTTTCTTTGGTTTGATATTTGAATATAAATGTGTTCTTCTATATTAAAGTTGCTAAAGATTTTTGTTTAAATTTGGGAAATTTGTACATTATCGTCAGAAAAAAAAGCCAATGTCACTTCTGCTACTAAGAATTTGCATATATTTTCTGCAGTATAACATGCAATCATTTTTAAATTTTCCATGAATATTTGAAAATAATGAATTACTACCTATAACATATTTTAAATTTTTATTAATTATAATGAATAACTTAGGTTTTCAAATTTTCCAAGCACATTTCGGTGTCCTTTGTTTTCATGCTTAAGTTACGTCAAAGTCTTCAATGCAGATATTTTCATCAATTCTTTTTCTACTGCTAAAAGGTTTTTTTTTATATTTAGATATCGTTATTTTTAGTTAAAAATGGTACTTAGTCATAAAGTTCTAGCCCTCGCTAAGGAGCTAGTCGTAAATGACAGCTTGCAGGGAAGGGAAAGTTAGTTTTCATGAAGGGTATGTCCCCTGGTAGATCAAAAATGGTCCAGTGGACGACCGCACACTCACAAACATATAGGCAGGACCATCTGGATTGTTTTTTTTTTTTTTTTTAATCCACGAAGGTACAATGTTGGGTGGGTATGGAATGGAGGCTGGGAATAAATGGGGAAGAGGATGAATATAATCAAATTACAATGCACGAAACTCTTCAATAATTAACAAAATATTCGAATTTGCTTATGAATATGTCTTTAATATGGTTAAGCATTCTATCCATTTAAACCTTTTGAAAACAGCCTGGTTCTATGGCTCTTATTTTTAATTTTTTTTCAAGTAGAAAAGTGACCTGCTCAGATGCTTTTTTTGAAGCATAGATTGATTGGAAAGAGATAAAGCTGAATGCTGAGAAGCCAGTGGGAAGGCTCTCAAAATAGTACAGGTGAGAAATCAAGAGTGATTGAATTGAGACAAACTAACAGAGATTTAGGGCAGGTTAGACGTGTCAAGGCTTGAAATTACTTGGACTTGAGGGCGAGGCAAGAGGTGGCTTGACAATGACACCTTGATTTCTGACTTAGTTACCATTATTTAAAGGGCAATCAATATCGCGCTGGGGATTTGCTTCAGAGGTAAAGTGCTTCCCTAGAATGTACAAGGATCTGGGTTTGATCCCTGGAAGTGAGCACCTGCACACACGTGTGCGTGCGTGTGCACGCACAGACACAGACACACACACACTCACACACACACACACACACACACACACACACAGAGAGAGAGAGAGAGAGAGAGAGAGAGAGAGAGAGAGAGAGAGAGAGAAGCTGGATTGGGTTTTCAGAATAAGCCATTTTCGAAGGTCTCTTTGTATGTCCATCTTCAAAGGACTGAAGTCAAGACCTAAAATCCAGTATTGGAACTTTGTCAGTGATTTATGTAAACTAAGGTCCTTTCACTTGTGTCTAAGAAAATAGGATGAACACTTATAAACTATAAGCATATCACACTTCTTTTATGTGTTAATTTATGAGGAACAGAGACCATTTTCATAAGCTGGAGGCAAAATTGGGACTAAGCATGAAGGAACTAACTTCCCCAGTAGTCCATAGGGAAGGTTAAGCTTTCCACAAGAGGGCAGCATCATCTCATAATTATGCATGGAATGCCTCAAGTAATAAGGGCTGAAGTGGGGGTGCTGAAAAGGTAGAAAATGTAGGTCCTGGGAGCCATAGATTCTTTTACCCCATAAAAACCAAAGGTCCCTGCTATCTCCAAGACTATAGTTAGAGCCACTCCTAAGTGATGTTTTGTAATGGCAGTATCGCTATAGTAGAGAAAGAAGAGAGGGTGAGTGGTTAAAACCACAGCATCTTCACATCCCTTGGTGGAACTAAACCCAGAAACTTGTCTGACAGTATTCACACTCTAAAGTGCCTGTCTTTCTACAATCAGAATTTCACCAGAGCCATGTTTTCTGTTCAGATATTTGCCACCCCCAATTGGTTTCCCAGCAAATCATACTCTGCAGACTAGACTAGGGTACAATGCACATTACAGTTCTAATGCATTTCCCTTCTGACAGTGTTCGGCTACTCCAGTTAGGCTTCGTTTATACCTCAGAGAAGGGAATGGACTGAAATTCCCCAATACAGCATTATGCATCTATGACCAAACCACCTTGACCTTGGAAGCCAAGCTCGATCAAGTTTGGCCAGTACTTGTAAAGAGGAATTTTATGTAAATTAAATTATTTGATCCTCATAATAATAACACTATTCAAGCAATTACCATTTCTATGCGATAGAGCCAAGGAGTAGCATTCATGATACTAAACAAGAACTTTTACCAAGTGAACCCTCCATGAAGTCTTACTTAGAATATAAATCATAACAATTCAAAGTGGTGAAGATGTAGATCAATGGCAGAGTACTTGACTAGCATACTCAAGGCCTTGGAGTCCATCCCTAGCATATGAAAAACAAACCTTCATATAAAATGAAATCAGTGACAATATAGCTGTTATATAGTACAAGGCACTACTTACCATGATGCCTATATCTGGAAAGGCATGGCTTAATACTAGGTACCAGAAGATCATGCAATAAACCAATGGAATTCTATATAATCTGCCCCATGTAATTCCAAACTGTTATGTTTTAGGGAAAGATTGTTTGGATACATTGTTTGAATGTTACATGAGATCAATAGAAGAATTTATGATAGCTCTCCTTCTGGCTCGGTTGCTAGAGTGTCATCAAGATAGGAAGCTTTGGTGAAGAATAAATGTGTTAGGCTTGGAGCAACCTTCTGTACTTGAAACACTATAGGCACATCTAAATATAAATGTCCAAGAGGAAACAGGCTATATGGTTTGGGACAGAAGAGTCAGAATCATCCATATATAGATATAAATTGAAACAGGAAGAGCCAGTGATATTGTTCATATTATAATTTCTGTATTATGATGATATCAGAAAAGGTAGAACTTCTGAAAACTAAATGTTTAAGGCATGGGCAAAGTGATAATCAAGTAATAAAGGAGACTGGTTAAAACATGGGCAAAAAGGAAGAAGACACAGAAGTAAACAGAGCTCAGATGTGAAGACACTTGCCTAGCTAGCATCAGGAGGCCCTGCTATCCATCCCCAGGACCACAATAAAAAATGTGTGTGTGTGTCTATCTTCATAAATACATAAACACAACCTGTCAAGTCCATACAGTGTTATTTGCATGTCTATCTTTTTGGGACTGACCATTTGATATTGGATAACCGATTAGTGTTATTCCTGGGGAAGGTTGTTTCTCCTGCTCTCAATGACAACAATTAAAAAAAGAGAGACCATGAATTTGAAAGCAAACAAGGGGAGAAGGTTTAGAGGGAGGAGAAAGAAGACAAAAGTGATGAAATTACATTATAATCTCAAAAAACAAAGAAAAAATTTAAAAAGGGTAACATTGACATGACTACATCCAATAATGTCCCTGCCCTTCCTTTTGCCTGTGTAATTCCATCTTGCCAAAATCTATCTATTTCTGATGGTTTATTTTTCTAATTCTACCTACTCTTAAGCTCAAATTTTACCTCCTCTTTTGAATGTAACTCTATTGAATCCTCTTTTTCTCTTTAATTAGCAATTTCTGTCTAAGCAATCTATTTAATGAGCACAAGGAACTCTGTGAAACCTTTCATTGCTTCTTTATATTATTAATTTTTATTGACACATACATGCTTTTTTTCATGTGTGAAACCATACAAGGGCAACATGTCTGACTTGGAGCTTGCTATAGCCTCCAAAAAGCCTACCACGGCTGGCAGTCGGATTCTTTTACATCTCTGTTGATATGTGATGATTGAACAATAACTGTTATGACAGAGGAGACAGAAAAAAAACCTTTAGGTTATATAGACCTTTATATGTTTTTAGTCATTGAGTCCTCAGAATAGCGAGTAAATTGAGTTCTGAAGAAGCATTTATCTGAAGCGGTGGGTATACTGAGTATATGACACTGCCAAAATATGAACCAACAGCCCTTTGACCATTCTGCTCTAGTTGTCGGCACAATTCTGTCCCCATGAACTACCTCTCTTGTTGATGATATGATACAGATGGAACTTTATGGAGGCTTTATTATCAATCAAGCACTTTTCAATGGCCTCGGCACCTGTACCTTACCTCCTGACAATCAGCTTGAGGATCCTGAAGGAGCCTTTGATAAGGATGAGGGCCTCTTGGCGGGAGCCATACAATGGAGTGCCATTGATGTTCACCAGCTCATCACCAGTCCGCATCTTCTGGGACAAGGCTGCCTTGCCTCCATCTTCAATCTGGGTTGCAGAGAACAAAACAGAAAGCGGGTCGTGAGGGGACTTCTGCCCTATAATTTTCTTTTCTGACTTCTCCCAACCTTGTAGCCACAGGTAGAAGTAAAAAAGTGTTCCATGCAGCTTCAAGAGTAGCTGAGGAGTTGATCACAGGCCATGGTCACTGAAGGCAGAGCTTGAACAAGCTCTTGAGAAAGGAGGCAACAAGAAATAAGGCAACTCCTCCCTAAAGATAGCACTTCTATAAAAGAAAGCGATGCTTAAAAGAAAGTCTATTGTGTTGCTGAAGAAGCCCATGGCATTGCAAACTGTGCACACAAATTAGAGCCAGAAGAGTGCCATCAAAAGTGGACAAATCTTTCCGTACTTTTGGACGGGCTTTGGAGTCTGACAAAGCTGGGTTTGGATTTTGACTCTACTACTTTGTAGCTGGGAGATCCTGAAAAATATACCTAACACTTTAGAATTAAATTGCCTTTCATGCAAACCGTGGCTAACAAAAGCACCCACCTCACAGGATAGCTAGGTCACCTTTTTGGGAGCTCTGAGTCCTTAGCTCGGTATGAGTTCTGATTCTTATAACAAGGAGGCTGATATTGAAAACTTTGATGGTGACTTCCAGTTCAATATTCTGTAGTCAGAATCCCCAATTTTAAACATATGAAGTAAGGACAAAGCTATTGTTTCTTCACCACATTCCTAGCATAGTACTTGCCAATGGACATTCAGAAAAAGCTGGGGATGTGTTACTAATCCACCACAATCTAAATATTCTCAATATGATCAGAGTAATCTTGGCAAAAACGTTTTCAGGCTGCGGTACTCTGAAAACAAAGGTACAAGCAATAGCCACTGGGGTAGATAAAAGTCAAGCAGAATGGCCCCAAAGACCCAAGTTTACTGGAAAGTTTGTACATAATATTCCACTTAACATAAAAGTGAATTCTACCTGTTAGAGTATTAATTCTATCTGGAGTAATGGGGTCGTCTCATCCATCATTAACCTATTCCCCAAGTACTTAATGGATTTTAGCATGCACAGAACAACAAACCCACTAAGTGGTAGAGATACACAAATAAACAAAGCTCTTAGCTCCTAGCCCCAGAAGGGAAATACTGTCTAAATTTTATATGCCCCTGAGACGATCATGTTAAATAAAAATCCAGCCCACCCACATTAAGTGTTTTGGGTAATATGTGAAGTAAGAATGATCAAATCATCCAATTCTCATGGGAAGGAAGCTTCTAAGTGAGTTATCACTGAGGGCTGACCCTTACTGAGGCTATGCTTAGACTGCTTTTCTTTCTGCTCTCTCAGTCTCTTAGCACACTCCCTGAAGCCCACACCATCAAAGTCAGAATATTGCTTTTGGGATAGGTAGGATCTTTTGAGATCAAAGAAAAAATATCAATTCAGGATTTTTAAACACCATTAAATAAATTGAAATTCTAAGTAAATTACAGATTTATCAAGTATATTGCTGCCAACCCAACATTTAAAAAAATTAACCTCTAAGAAATCACAGCCTAGCCAGTTGACTCTCCTCTCTCTCTCTCTCTCTGTCTCTCTATCTCTCTCTGTCTCTCTCTCTCTTTCTCTCACACACACACACACACACACACACACACACACACATACACACACACATACACTTACTTTTTCCAGTGTCTGGGCACCCATTCAAGATAAAACAACCTAATAATGGCAAATGGGGAATAACTCTCAGCAAATTAATTAGGATTATACATTTGTTTCCATCGTCATTAGCATTACTGCCTCATAGACACTACTGCCTGCCTTAAAAAATTACCTACTTAGCCACATGCAATGATGATGCATTCAAGTGAAGGAAAGGCAGAAGAATCAGGAGTTCGAAGTCAGTCTGGGCTATGTGAGATGCTGTTTCAAAAACTACAGCACCAGCAACAATAATATTAATGGGAAAATCGAAGTAAAGTACTGTAGTTGCATTTCAGAAAATCAGTTTGAATGACTCATTCTGGCTTGCATGAGAGGCCCTTAGCTTTCTGACAGTTAACAAGTAACCATAAAGAGGACTAATTAATGAATGCTCATCGTTTTTTTTTTCCACTGATGCACATTAGTCTTAATTAACCCTACACATTTTGTATTCATACAGCTCAATTACCCATATTACTGCTACCCATAGAAAGTGGTCTCTTCCACATATATTGGTGTTAAGTAGAATCTCTGATTAAGTATTCATTTATATCAAAAAGATGCTTGTTCATTCCAGGTCACAAGATAAAACAACAACAACGAAAACCTTTTAAACTAAAATGCTTAATTAATGCTACTCCAGTCAAAGCCTTCACACTGCTACTTTAGCTGCCATTTTCTGCATTTATGTAAAGACTATTTGTTTTTGAACTATAGCTGTAGGTCAATTGGCCCTTTTTGTAGTCCACATCTCTTCTGAGTCACCAGCAGATTAGTCCTCAGAACAGATGTGTTGACTGTAGTAAGGTCACTCTAGTAAAAGTATGAAGATGCTCAGATAAGAAACAAGTGATTTTTGTTACTTAGCACAATCCAGAACCCAAATATATTCAGATAAGGAAATATGGTTCCATTTGATTGATGATCCATTGAAGTAAATGTCAAACTAACCACTCTGTAGAGGCAGGGTATTTATTGGACTGTATAACTAACTTCTTACCCATCAGGACTTTTTGGGTTGTTTTCTATTAATGTTCCTCCCCTATACTCTATCTCCTTCCTGCTCCATATCTGATTCTTCCATTTATTATTTGGCCTTTTGACAGCTAGACTTCCATGTCAGTAGCTAAAATGCACATTTGTTTATAAAAAACACTTGCTAATGTTCTTCGTAAGGGAAAGAAAGAATAAAGAAGAGGAAGACTAGAGAGGAAAGTCAGCAACACAGAGGACAAATTCATCACAGTGGATGAGAAAATCAGCAACCTATTTGAAAAAGTCAGCAAGGAAATTGATATTTTAGATTAAAAAATAGAAATATTGAAAATAAAAAGCTCAAGCAACCAAATAAAAAACACAGTAGAAAGCAGCATGGATAGACTCAATCAAGCTGAAGAAAAAGTATCAGGGATAAAGCAATACTACACTCAAGCACCAGTGAGGAGAAAAAGAGATCAAAATGAGCACAATAATCCAGAAATCCAGGACATAATCAAAATACCAAGCCTATGAATCCATGGAATTGATCTGGAACTAACCTGGAAGCCCCTTTCTGAAGGCTACCTCTCCGAGATTTATCCAAAGATGCTATGCAAGCTGCCAAGGGAGAAAACCAGTCAATATTCCCTACACAGCTGTGAAGTCCAGGAACCACAACATTGACCAAATGTCAAGATGTCCCTAGTGGTGCAGTAGTGCCATTTATATTTTGGGAATAATCAGCGACTATTTAATTGGACTATTGGTCTGATCCACAGGAGAGAATTTATGCCTGGCATTGTAAACTTCTAATTACCCATGGTTAGTGAGGTTATGGACCATGGAGGAGAACTTACTACTACAAATTTCTTAAACCATTATAATTTATAACTATATTCTAAACACTTATGTGCGCGTGTGCGCGCACGCGCGCACGTGTGTGTGTGTGTGTGTGTGTTTGTAACTCTCACCCAACATTAATGAAGCTTTTCTTTTTGCAGCAGATGGAGGGAGACTAGTACAGTAACTTACATTGGTCAAAATTTAGAGAATAGCTGGCTGTGAGTGCCCATCCCAAATTGATACATCTAAAATGCACAACCCCTATACCTAAGGCAGATGAAGGGAACTTTAAAATTGTAAGAGCCAGGGGATGAGATAATGTCTTCTACACATGACAGGGAAGCTGCACCCATGAAACCTTAGCAATAAAGTCACATACACCAGACTTGCATTATGACATCACCAGCGGGCATGCCAGCTTAGATGGCTGGAAGCTCACAAGCTCTCACCCCTAGATGAAGAGCTATAGAAAATGAATGATTGCTGAGAAAAGGAGAATCAGTGTTCTCCAGGGATGAGCTTCCTAATGTGTTAGCCAATCCTTAGTGATCAACCAGAAACACATGCACATATGAGCAGTGCTAAATAGACTCAGCAGTACCTGAAGATAGATAGATAGATAGATAGATAGATAGATAGATAGATAGATAGATAGATAGATAGATAGATGCAGACAGACAGACAGACAGACAGACAGATGGTAAATAGGATAGGATGGATTTAGATTATATATATTTAGCAATAATAATTTAAAAGGATGTCAATAACTAGAGAGGGAGTAGGGGAAATGGGAGGGGTAAGAAGGGGAGAAGAATGGAAAGGATGCAAATACAGTACTCATGTTTGGAATTCTCAAAATTAAATAAAAAATTAGATAAAAATAAAATAAAATCTCCTAAAATGTAGAAAGCAAATAAACAGTATTAAAAGCTACATGAGGGGAAAGGATAACTCTCCAACAAAAGCAGAAGTAGCAGAATAATATCAGCTCTCTTGTCAGACATGCCTAAACTGAAAAAGCAGGAGATGACATATTCCAAGTACTGAAAGCAACTAACAACTAAGAATGTTATATTGAGCAAATTTCTCATTCAAAATTGATGGAAAAATAAGGACATCTGCTATTTGATAAAGTCAGCTTCAAAATTAGAAGAGATAAAAGACCATTACATATTAATAAAGGGAACAACCGTTCGTTAAGAGGCAGTAATTATAAATGTGATGTGAGTATGATAACCTCTGCTTTCTATTCTTAAAATATGGGTAATTTTAGGCGTCAAATGAAACTTTCTTGGTCAGTTCTCCAAGACTCTGGCCAAATTATCAGACCATAATCCTTACTCCACCAGTTTGTTCACATTTTTAAGAAGGGAAAAATGCCTGTTAGTTGATATACTGTTTCTGCAAACAAACAGAAAAGATTAATATAAATATTACACATATCTCATATATATATGTATTTATCCTATATATAAAGATAAATACAATATAAAGATACATA